AAATCACGCTGTGGCCAATCCTTTAGAATCTAAAATCTAAAGGTTTATTCATAAAAGGAAAAAGACAGAGATGAGAGCTAGAATTGGTTTGTGATGGAGCAGGGGAGTTACATTGGGGATGGGGGATTGCTCTTGCAGGGAGATACCTGAGCTGTAACCTGAGCCAGGATGGGGGTGGGAGAAGTGACACCTTCTGCCCCGGAGACTGAACAAAGGAGAGGAGGGCAGAGGGGAGGGGGGAGAAGGCTGCTGGAGGGTTTTGGTTTTTAGTTTCCAGTTTGGGCTGGGTGGTGCAACGTAGGGAACCCCAAGCTGGGGTCTAAGCTCCCTGAACCCCCCAGAAGGACTTGACTGAGGGGTCCTGGTTGTACCTACAAGCTCTGCTGTAGACTGTGTTCCTGTTCTCCAATAAACCTTCCGTTTTACTGGCTGGCTGAGAGTCCCGGGGAATCCCAGGAAGAGGGGTGCAGGGCCCTGACTCCCCCACACTCCGTGACATGGTTAAATGGAATCAGTTACATACAGTAATGGCAAAGTTCTTGGTTCAGGCTTGCAGCAGCGATAGAATAAACTGCAGGTTCAAATCAAGTCTCTGGAACATCCCCAGCTGGGATGGGTCATCAGTCCTTTGTTCAGAGCTTCCGTAACCTGGTCTTAGACACCTTATATGGCCCCCTTTACATAAGATTTGGTGCCACTACAGGACCTTGGTTGCAACCGTGTTCTATATGGTTCCAGTTCAAGTCAATAACGTGACAGCGTGGAACCCAGGCGTCCTGGCAACTCTGCCAGCTGGCGTTAGATGACAACTGGCCCCAATCCTCCCATTGTGCTGCCAGCTGGGGACAGAACACGCCCTGCCTGGCCCCCCGCCCTGTCCTGGGGCACCAGGGCCTGAGCCCGGGGCCCGTCCCTGGGGTTTGTCCATAGCCCCCGATGTCACAGCCAGACAGCACTGATCAGCCCTGTCCGTCCGTCCCCCCCCGTGATCCCCAGAGCCCGCCGGCCCCTGGAGCGACTGGACGCCCTGGTCCCCCTGCTCCAAGACCTGCTTCTACGACGTGGACCGTGTCGGGGTGAGGAAGCGGTTCCGTCACTGCAACGACACCGGGGAGGGCGCTGGGCGATGCCAGGGGGCGCCCGTGGAGGAGGAGCAGTGTGACACGCCGCCCTGCCCCGGTGAGAGCCCAGCTGGGGGGATGGCCGGGCGGGAGACAAAGGGCTAGAGCAGTGTCTAAGGGGGCTTGTGGGGGCAGTCCTCAAGGAGGGTGGGGTTCCATGGGTGGGGTTCTAGGCTCTGAGGAGGGAGGGGAATCCATGGGGGCAGGGTTCTAGACCCCGAGGACAGAGGGAGCTCAACGGGGCGGGTTCCAGACCTCTAGGACGTAGGGGTTGCTTTGGTGGGGACAGCCTGCGAGGAGGGATGGGAATCCATGGGTGGGGTTCTAGACCCCAAGAACAGAGGGAGGTCAACGGGAGCAGGTTCCAGACTGCAAGGACAGAGGGGTTCCTTTGGTGGGGGCAGCCCGCGAGGAAGGACGGGGAATCATGGGCGGGGTTCTAGGTTCTGAGGAGGGAGGGTTGCGTCAGTGGGGGAGGCACCCCCAAGGATGGCTGGGGTTCCCCAGTTGGGGGTGACATCCAGGCTGACTCCCACGAGGCCCCTGGCAGGGCTGGGGCAGCAGATGCCAGGGCAGGGCTTGGAGTGGCAGCTGGGAGATTCCCAGTGGGTTTGGCAGAGCCCCTTTTGGGGCTCCCCCCTGCCCTGGGGGAGCAGCGTGGTGCCGAGGGGACCCCCCAGACCCGGCTCCTGGCCTGCTGAGCTCGTCAGGCCATGCCCTCTGCTGTCCCCTGGCAGTGGGAGGCGTCTGGACCCCCTGGACGGCCTGGTCCCGATGCTCCGCTACCTGCGACTCCGGCGTCCAGACCCGCAGCCGCACCTGCTCCAACCCGGCCTACGGGGGCCCCGAGTGCACGGGGCCCCTCGTCCAGACCCGGGACTGCAACAGCCAGCCCTGCCGAGGTACTGGGGGGCTCACCCCGAGCGGCCGGGCGCGGGGCCCTGCCAAGGTATGGGGGGGGCCACCCCGAGGGGCCGGGCGCAGGGCCCTGCCGAGGTACGGGCGGGGGTCACCCCTAGGGGCCGG